TTCCAATGTACACCCAAGACAAATAATTTGGTGGGGGGGAATGAGATGGGAGGGTGGTAGGGGGGAATGGGAGGGAGGAAGAGAGGGAGGGAAGGAGGGGGAGGGAATGGGAATCAATATGTAAAATAAGAATAAATAAATATTAAAAAATGATAGGAGATGTCATTCTGTAAGTATGTTTCTCACACTGGTTAATAAATAAAGCACTGTTGGCCAATAGGAAAGCAAGACAGGCAGGACCAGGAGACAAGGAGGAAAGAGGAAGTAGTAAGGAGTAGTCAACATGGAGAGACTGGGGAGAGCAGACACAGGCCTCAGTCCCCAGTAAGATGAGACCACGTGGAAGTACTTAGATTAATAGAAATGGATTAATAATTAAGACAGAGATAGCCAATAAGAAACTAGTGCCTGGCATTATATCAAATACAGAGTCTCTGTGTGTTCATTGGGGCTGGCACGGCAGTGGGACAAGACCAGCGGCAGGAGGAAAAACCTTACTCCTTACAAAAAAAAATTTCCCTCAAATGCCTTAACCTTACCTTCTCTTCCTAGTCTACCTTTACCAAAAGATTTCAAGTCAACTGCAGACTGCTTCAACAAAAAGCTAGGTGTTCCTTCAAAATGTGAATCCCAGACAGCTTCAAAGTCACTAGCTCCTCCGATGGTCCTGTAGAACCTGGACAGTGAGTGAAATAGTCTGCTCTTCCCAGACTTGGCCAGCATTCCAGCTTCTAAGAGTTGGTTTTATTTTTTTATTATTGTCAGTTGTTTGTTCATTTACTTAGGATCTTTTTTTTTGGGGGGGGGGGACAAGGTCTCTATGTGTAACAGTCCTGGCTCTTCTGAAACTAGCTCTATAGACCAGGCCGGGAGTGCTGGGATTAAAGGCATTCGACACCACTGCCCAACTAGGTTTATCTTTTTTTTTTTTTTTTTTTTTTTTTTACGTGACCAATGACATTTGACAAAAAGGACAAAAGTGGGTAGGTACCCTGCCTGGACTGTTATGCACTTCATTTTCCTCACAATCCACATGTACAGCCTGAATAAAATTTCATGCAATGTTCTTTGGGGTTTGTAATTTTTTTTTTGTTATATTTTCTGTTTCTTTTGAGATAAGGTCTCACCATGCAGTCCTGGCTGGCCTGGAACTCAGACTTCTCCCTGCCTCAGCTTCCTGAGTGCTCGGCTCTCAGGTATGCACCACACACCCAGCATTTAATAACTTTCTAGGTGAGGGTCTGGGGTCTGCAATGTTTCCAGCTTTTCCTGGGTTACATTCCTTGACCTTGGGCTGCAGCAACCAAGGACTTATCTGAAAGAAAAGAAAAAAGGAATTTGCAGATATTTTAACAAGATACCAAGGTAGCATTTACAAAGATGGACACTGAGTCAGAGACAGGAAGGGAGATAAAGTCACCATGGGGGAGGTGGCTGCCCAAGGGAACTTGACTCTGCCAAGGTTACAGCGGTGACCCTGGACTTCTAGGGCTTTAAGGAAGATCTGAGATTGGGGTTGTATACAAGTGTCCCTAAGGCTTGTCCAGGGTGGATCCACAGTAAAGCTCGGATAATATACAATTTAACAGGAAAATACAGGCACAAATCCACCCATGAAATAGTATGTATGCAGCCTAGTAAAAGCAGGAAGCTTTTAGAAACTAAATACATGAATGAATGAGTCAATGCATCAACGAATGATTAACTATAATAAAAGTATTTATGGGGCTGATGAGACAGCTCAGCAGTTATGAGTTCAGGCTGTTTTTCCAGAGGACCCAGGTTCGGTTCCCAGTGCCCATGGAGACTGACACGACTCCACAACTCCAGAATCCGTGTCTCTGTGCTCAAGAACTTCTGATTGTTTTTGAAAACAAATACAACTTCTGGTGTAAAACAAATGCAACTTCCGGTGTTATGAGCTCTGAAGCTTTGACCTCCAGGCTGTTCAGTTCCCACTGGTACCTGTGAGTTAAGCTCCACCAAAAACGCCCCTCCCCCCAAGGTAATTTGACACCCCACATAAAGCTAGTACTTTCTCTCAAGCACTTGAGCTCCACCCACCTGCCTGTCAATCACATGTAACTGACAGCACTACATCAAACCCACAAACCCTTCTTAAAACATAGAGTTTTTATCTACGAAAGACTCATTTCTCACCCCCTGTGAGGGTATTATCATTAACTGGGTAAGGTGCTCATAGCTCAGTGGGTAGGGTGCTTGCATAATAGTGGAGTGCTTGTACCTCAGTTGGTAGGATGTTTACCTAGCTTTCAAGAGGTTATCAGTTCAGTACTCTTAGCATTGTGGAACTGAGGACTAAACTCAGACTGTCAGTCATGATGCAAGAGCCTTTACACACGGAGCCATCTAACCAGGTTTTTTGTTTGTTTGTTTGTTTTTAATATTTTCAGGCAGCCCCCAGGTGGATGTGCTAGTGCATTTAAGAAGCTGAGGCAGAAATATTGTGTTTGACATCAGCCTGAACGATGTAGCTTGTGTTTTGATTTCTTTCTTGTTGCTGTGACAAACTCCTCGATCATCAACAAAGAAAGTGACTTTAAAAGTAAGGACCCTCTGGAGCTTACTTGCAACTTCATTGCCAAATACAGGAACTGAACAAAGGGCGGAAAGCAGCAGCATTTTCCTGAAACGGGGATAGGAAAGAGAAACCAGGGCCACCCATGAGGAGAAAAGGGGCTGCCCATGAGGCACTCAGAAGCTGAAAGGATCTTCCCTGGGTCCTGACAAGGAAGCAAGGACTTGAACCCCACCCACCCCTCTCATCTGGAGGCCCCTGCCACATCTTGGAGCTAACCCAACCTGCACTATCTTTAATGTCACTCACTCTAATCCAACTTGGATCTCACTCCCCCCTGTGCCCTCTTGGATCTTGTACTCTATCAAACAAGCTACAAGCACCTACCCACTGAGCTTAGAAGCACTGTGCCCATTGAGCCACACCCCAATTCCCAACCCTTGATTGCCCATGTTTCCTTTGATTTATTTTTCTGTATTTCTACCATATTCTTGGTAGTGGAGGATTCGTTGCCACCATGAGCTCTTTGGCATCTAAACTGCACATGCTCTGCATCTGAGGCAGGTTTGCTTCAGTTATCAGTGGCTGGCATTTGGTTTTTCTTAAACCTACTTTGCCTGGCAGAGGTTGAGCTTCCAAAATAATGCATGGGTTCAGGCCAAAGCAGAAGCTACTTTCACGTGCAAATGCAAGTGCTCTATGACCACAGATGACCACAGCTTCATTGGTGCTGAACCCCTGAGACCCTGAAGCCATATATCCATGGGACACATGATGTCATCAGAAGCGCCACAAAAGCAGCTAACAAGGAGAGGGTTGGATCCACAAGTTCTTCCTAGGGACTAAGTAATGTGTGGGAACATAACAAGGTTGCAGAGTACAAAGCAGGAAGAAAAGAGATCCACTGTGTGACAAGGAGCTGGGGTAAGGCGAACACAGCCATGGCAGGGCAGCCCTGGGTACTGAGCCTGCATCCCTCCCTGGATACTAGGCCTCACATCATCCCGAGTTTCAGAGAGGTGACACCTGTTTTGGGCTATGGCCTACTCTAGGCTAAGTGGAATGTGGACACACGGGGTGGGATGGGAGCTCAGAGGAACACACTGGAGCTAGTCTGGCCATCCTCCTGACTCAGGCACTTGTATATATGATTCACGTGGATGCTGGAAATTTGAACTCAGATCCTAATTGCTCAAGCAGCCAATCTTAATACAGTATCTGGCAGTATCTGATAATCAATGTTTGTTGAGTAGAATAAATGCTTTTGTCATAGTGAAACCAAAACTAAAATAGCATGCTTGGTGTATTCTGACTAGTGGAGTATTGGGTCCTAGCAGGCACTCAGTGTTGACCGAATGAATAAATGTTCTCAATGCGAAGCAATAAAAGAAAATAGAAGCCAGGAGAGGTCCTTGTTTTCAAGATCAGATGTACCTGCCACCCACAGGTGCTATCAGGACACCAGCTCCTGAATGGATGGTCCCTACTCAACCCCTGTCTCAGGCCGCTTTTGGCCATGTCTCTCAGGACCCTGTGTCTCCTGGTAAGAGCAGAGTTGTGCTGCAAGCATGTCCTAAGCAGCCACAGCCGGGGGAACTGCATTCTTTGCATGCCAGGCTCAGGGAAACACTGCCCACGCCTCGCAGGTGGAGGCTAGGTCTAAAAGCGCCGCATTCTCAGCACGCCCTGCGAGTCCAAGCGTGTATGGTGCCGCATAATAGGTCCCTAGAAACTCTGTCTGTCTACCCAAGAGTCCTCCGGCTCAGGACCAGCAGGTGCCGCGGGTCAATAGTGAACATGGGTTTTTGGGAGACAGAGCCCCAGGGCTTCGGGGCGCTTGTAGCACTCGCCAGACAACGTTGTAAGTTCGATCCCCCGAGCCTCGGGAAACTCTCCTGGAAGCCATGCCCCACCTGGTGCCACCACCTGTCCACCGGTAGGGTTCTGCCAGAAACATCCACTGGTGGCAGCAGGAAGTTCCTGCGCCTCTTCTTTCTTGCTTCCTGCCGAAGGGGAGGGATGTTAGCCGATATCCCCATGTCCCCGGAGCAGCCCCCTCGATCTCTTTTACTTTGGCGCAGGTGCGCCCCGTGGGGTCCGCCAGTAAGTAACAGGCAGGGCGGGGCTGAGACCAGGCTCCTCCCAGGCCGGGGTAGGCGAGAGGGCGGAGCGCGGCGAAGGCGTCTCCCCAATCGCGTCGTCCCGCCCCCTCCCAACCCCCGCTGGCGTAGACTGGTCCCCGCCCAGCCGGCTTCCGCCGGGAATGAAGAGCGTTGCCGTTGGCGCCGGTCCTGCGGACCCTAAGCGCGTCCGCGGAACCCCCGGGCCGCTTCTGAAAGACCTTCCCGTCGCTGTGAGCCACGCCGCGCTCGCTTCCATTGTCCGTACGGCCGTGGAAGCCAAGACGCGCGTGCGAGGCCTCTGCTGATGCCGAGGCTGCTGTTGCACCGCGGTTGCACTGTGCGTCCCCCGCCCCATGGAGCCGACCGCGGGGGCTATGGCGACAGAAAAGGATATTGCGGCCCGAGACGAACCCGGGGATGCCAAGGTCTTGGCGCCAGCTGGGGAACCTCCGTTCAGGACGTCGTTCCCACACAAAGCTGGACACTCGATGGAAGACTGGGACACCGTGGCCACTGTGGGTGAGTGAGAACTCGCGTATAGGCGGTCACGCAAGGGTCCCCTGAGACCCTGGGGCTTTTATCTCCCTCACATTCAGTACACGGTCTCCGGAAACGGGGCGGCCCCACGTCACAAAGCTTTAAGGAGGGTGAGGTGACTTCACCTTAGGGACTCGGTGGCTCCCTGCTAGGGTGCCAGTCACCCCGGGGACACCACGCCCGGCCTTCCAGGCGCTTGCGCACCGGCTCAGACCCGGGATGCTGCGGGATATAATCCAGCCTCCGGAGTATGGACCCCTGGTGGGGCTCGCAGGGCTGCGTGACCTCCGCCTCTGGGGGACCCTTCAGGGACCGGTATGACAATGTGTTCCCCGCATCTCCTGTGCGCACGGATCTCGGTTTTTCTTTAGTGACTCCAAACTTGGTATCCCGTGACCCCCCGCAGGTTACTGGGGAAGCCAGTGGATTCCCTCACAGCCTGGGATGCTCCAAGAGGGCTGGGGTCGCGCGACTTCTCAATCTAACCCCCCGGGAGTACGGAGCGTCTGAGACCTCGGTCGCTAGGACAGTTGCGCCCAGTGTGTTGATTTTTTAGGAAACTGTTCCTGGAGGAGGGACAGAGGGAGGGAGGGACTGGCATCCTCTGCAGGCAGAGATTGTAGAGTGCATCCCGGTGCTGGAAGGAAGTCAAGTCGGGGTTCAGGGCCAGGGCTGAGAGAAGATTAACACCTTTTCAGCGAGGCGGTGAGATGGCTTGATGGGTAAAGGAGCTTGCGACCTGAGTTCCATCCAGGTTCCCATTTGGAAACTGACACTTGCAGCATCCCGGTTTATGACTGATATTTGAGGGAAACGGAGGCCGGTTGAATGTTGTTTACTGATGATGATGTAGCCTTGGCTGGCCTTCCTGTCACTGTGTAAAGTACCCATTCCCCTACCAATCCTTCCTAAATGCTGACATTGCAGTCCTCCTCCACCGCAGATTGGTTATAAGATGCTAGGAACTGAGCCTCACCCTTATTTTTGACACATTATCACTGCATAAATTCAAGCTGACTAGAGACTCCAGGCAATCCCCCTGTCTTAGCTTTTCCAGTGGTGGGACCATAGGGACTCAAAGGCATTCAGTGTCTCAGCTGGTTCTTCACCCTTTTGTTTCTTAAGTTTTTGGAGACATAGACTGTCTACATAGCCCTGGTTGTCCTGGAACTCACTCTGTAGACCAGGCTAGCTTTGAACTCCTAAAGATCCTCCTGACTCTGCCTTCCAAGTGTTAAGATTAAATTCTTGCGCCACCACACCTGAGTCTTGAGTTAATTTTTAAATTCACTTATTTACAGTGCACAAATTGGGGGGCAGTACATGTGTGGGGGTCAGGGATTAACTTTTCCATGTCTGGTGTTCTGTCTTCCACCAAGTGGGTCCAAGGTATTGACCTCAAATTCTTGGGTTTGGCAGCAAGCCCCTTCACCTACTGAGCCCTCTTTCTGGCCCACTGCTTCCAGAGCATGGACCACATTGAGCATCTTGGGAGCCTCCCTAAGTCATGTCATGTCCTGAATCCTACAACCTTTCTTTACTGTGAGCCTGTTCCCTCTAATCCTTCTAGAAGGACCTGGGTGCAGAGGTCTGCCTCCCCTCTCCCCCACAATCCTTTCATTTTATATGCATTCTTCTCACTGAATCCTCACATAAATCTAGACCATGTCTATGACAAACATGGAGTTTTGGGGTGCATTTGAGACAGTGCTCGAGTGTGTATCCCTGCCTATCCTGGTACCTGATGTGTAAAACAGGCTGGCCTGGAATGTTGATGCCTATAAGTACTGCAGGGAACCAATACCCACCCCACCCCACCCCTGCCATGCTCGGGAAGTACTTTAGAGCTCACCAGGCAGCCCTGTATCCCCTGTCAGTCCCCAGAACACACTCTACTCTGCATTCTTCAGGAAATATTAATGGTATTGCCTCCTACCTGAAACTCACTTCTCCATTTGTTTGGAAACTCAAGTAATGAACATTCCAGGCTGAAGATGTGACTCAGTAGGTACAGTGCCTGTAGCTTAGTTGGAATAGTGCTTTAAGCCCCGTGGGAAGACAGTTTGTGGTTCTACAGATACAGTTCATGTGACTCAGTGAACAGAGTATAGCTCAGTGGATAGAGTACTTGTAGCTCAGGTGATACAGTGCGTCCATTCAGTGGGTAGAGTATTATAGCTAAGTGGGTGATTGTGACTCAGTGGGTAGATTGCATATAGCTCAATGGACATAGTGATTGCAACTCAATAAGTAATAGCATGCTTGCAGCTCAGTGGATCTCAGATGGAAATTTGCTGAACAGGACCCCTCTGCTTGGCCAGACCTCTCCTGCAGTCTTGTTTCCCTGGATTTATCCGTGTGTCTCGTCCTTAGATGTAGGGTGACTTGACTGGATGTCTGTCAAGTTGCCACAGGATAGCACTAGAGAGGAATTGCTGAGGGTCCCATGGAGAGAGGGTTCCACCTGGTAGACCATAATGATGATAATCTGAATCTAAAACCATCTAGGAGAAACTTACGGTTGTTACATTGAGGCAGGAGATGCCCGAGCATAGGTGGGGACTCAGAGTGCTTAAAAAGGAAAGAAAATGATTCAGTCAAAAAAAAATCAGTCACCAATCAATCAGTACTGCTAGGCACCAGCATTCATGCCTGTGGATGCAATGAGCAAGTGCATTATGTTCCTGCCTCCATGACATCAGCCCCTCTACAAGCTCCACCTTCACTGCTACATGCCTGGTTAGCACTAAAGGAGTAAGGTGTGAGATTTGCATACCATTCATGGGTATGTAAATATACCCTTATCCACATTGTACCTCAAAAGCCTCTGGCCCCTTCTAGAGCAATCCCATCACCATCATACACTGGAAAGTAACTGTTCACCCATCCAGCACTGGGCTGTTCTCTTTGCAAAGTTCCTAAATGTGGGAATGCTGTGCACAAGGCCCCTCACCTCATCACCACCACCCTGAGAGCCACCTTCTAATTCCTTGTGGTTTGTGGGTGCAGGGCTCATTGTCAGAACCAAGCATCTACCCCGATTAAGTGAAGGATCATGGGATAGAAGGAAATGGCCACTGGGCATTGGGAGCAACCAGGAGGTGAACTGAATAGGAAAGGTCCTCCCTAGGGCCTCAGGGTGGCAGGGCTGATGCCCTGCACCTCGCTCTCCTGTCCTTCGCAGGAGGACAACAGGTGAACCTACCCAATCTGTGCCATCTTAAGTCCTAGCCCCCCCCCTCCCGCGCGCGCCATTTTGCCTAGAACCTATGTGCCATCATCTTGATCCTCACCCACCCTGTGCTATCTTAAGTCTCACCCATCCTGCATCATCCTACGTGTCCCCTAGCCTGTGCCATTTTGGCTTGACCCTGTATGTACCATCTTGAACCCCACCTTGTGCCATCTTAAATCCCACCTACTCTGGGCCATTTTGACTTGAACCTATATGCATCTTCTTGAAAGCCACCTACCCTGAACTATCTTAACTGAACCTACCTTCACCATCTTGTATTACACCCACCCTACTCCATCTAAAATAACCTAAATGCACAAGCTAGAATCCCACCCATTGGCATCCACTGCCTTGATTTATTCTTTCAGGTTTCTTTTCCTGACATTTTTTTTTCCTGAACACTCTCTTAGGACATCAGGTGTCTGTCCTGTCTTCCTCATACTCAGACTGTGTGTCTGTTCATCTCCTCAGCCCCTGAATCATTGTGATGGTGGCTCTGGAGTGAGTTTCAATATGATTTTTCTCTAGAGCTAGGGCCAGATTTGGGGCACCACCCAGAAGGAGGAAGGCAGGAACTTGTCATAGCACCAGTCACACAGGCCAGTGCTTTTTCCATCTACTCTAGAGCCTGGGTACTCTAGTCTGAGTCTAATCACACTCTAAGGACAACACCTTCATTCTCTTGAGGACTTATACATCCTGAGGCTTTCTCTGTATTCACTCAGATTTGCATTTTAGTTTTGAAGTGCTGGGCATTGAATATAGAGCCTCATTTACACTAAGAGCATCCCCACCTTCTCCCTCTTAAGTCTCCTCCCTCCTTCCCTTTTCATTCCTGGGTTTCCCCCTGTGTGTAGCTCAGGCTTTCCTGGAACTCACTGTGTAGTCCAGGCTGTCCTCAAACTATTATTGATCTTTCTGTTTCTACCACAGAAGTGCTAGGAATAAAGCCTACCTCACCAGGCTGAGCTTATGCAAAGATGGGTACTGAGCCCTGGGCTTCATGTGTGCTACAGTAAATATTTTACTTTCAGTTTTATTTCCTATCTGAAATAACCATCAGGCCATCACACTTCCTTTACTTTAAAAAGATTTTCCCCCTGAGGTTGAGGGTGTAACTCCGTTGATACAGTGCTTGTGACTCTGGGTAGAGTGCTTGTAACTTAGTGTATTGTGTCTTCCTGTGGGCGGCCATCAATGCTAATAACACATTGGCTTACCTGACACTTGGCACCTGTAGGAACATTCCAGGTTGTGCTTTCAATGCACTCTTGTACTTATATTTTCCTTTGTGTGGTTGGGGATGGAATGTAGGGAAATTTTTTTATTATTACTTGTGGGGGATGGAACCTAGGACCTTGTGCATTCTAGGCAAGCACTCCACTGAATTACACACCTAGTCCATAAGAAAACTATTAGTATTATTATTGCATTATTATTATCATTGTCATTATTAGTATTATTGCTCTTGTTGCTGTGCTAGGTTCTGGGGATACAGCCAACAGACTCACTTTTGCCAGGCATAAGCTGCACCCCCATCCCTTCCCACCCACCTCTTTAAACACATCAGGTGCTACATTGACCTGGGACAAAAATTGACATTTTCCAATATGATAGGATTGTCCCTACTTGTGCCCCATTTGTTACTGAGACCTAGTTCTGGACATCTGGGTCACTTCCATGTAACATCTGTGTCTGCTCCCCCAAGAGCCTTGTTACCCACATAAAAATTCATAACCTCCATGCCAGACATACAGAAAATTACTTTTGGAAGGTTCCAGTTATCCATTGATGGGGCACTTAATACCATTTGTAGACTGTGAGTAGTATGTGGACATTATCTTCCTACTCTGAGATAGTCATTTTTTGAAATTTGGGAGGCCACTTATCCATGTGGCACAGAAGGCAACCTCAGAGTCTGTAAGGGCTATAAAATTGTGTACAATTAATTTGATTGGTGATGTTTGTTACCTTGCTGACCCCATGACCTGGGTGTCACTTTACAGGTCAAGGGACTGTACTAGAATGACTGATATGAATGTCTCGAGCTTAAGCACTGAAGACTGATTTTGCATCACATAAGGGCTGGGGCATTTAGTTGTCTGGACAGATACAATATGCATTTGGGTGATTGTGGATGTGTTGGTGGCTCACAACCAAGGGATTGGGGATGGAGGTCGTAGGTGGTATAAGGACAGACAACTTATGCTTGGGCCCAATGACAACACAGTTCTTTCTACAGACTTTGATAATTGGTGTGGAATGTCTATTAGCTAGCTTTCCATTGCTGTGACAAAACCCCTGGCATAAAAAAATTATAAAGATTTCTGTTAGCGCCTGGTCTCAAAGGTGTCTGTCCATGGCTCCATTGCTTTGAACCTGTGGTGATACAGTGCATCATGGGAGCATGTGATACAGCAGAGGTGCTTACTACATAGTGGCCAGGAAACACAGAGAGGGGAAGACTGGGGTCCTAGTGTCAGCTTCAATGACATACCCATGATGAGCTATGTTTCTCCCACTTGACATTAAATATCACCTTGCCCTAGGAGTTTCTGGTACTTTCTGCTTGTCTTTGTTCTGGCAGTTGGCGCTCTGCTGTACTGTGTTTTTCCACGGTGTTAGGTTTCTCAGGCTTGGCTTTGTCTCTGTAGCTCCCCTGCTCTGTGTAATCCCACACCATCAGCTGCTTCTGCACCCACAAGCCACAGACACAAATGTGAAGGAAACAGGCCGCAGCCATCTGATGCAGAAGCCATCCTGTGGTCTACACATCTTTTAGGCTGTGCTCACGCGGTGTACGTGAGACACAAAACTGATGTGCCACGCACCAAGCACAAGCACAGACGAGGGTTCTGATGTCACAGCACTTGCTTTTCTCATTGCCATAACAAAATGCTTGATAATCAAAATTTAAAGGAGGAGGGGATTATTCTGGCTCAGTCCATCATGGAGACAGTATGATAGTCAGCAGCAGAAATGACTGCTAGGGCTCAGCTCTCTTTCTCCTTTTTTATTTAATCCAGGACCCCAGCAAAGGAGTGGTGATGCCCACATTCAGGGTGGGATTTCCCACTTCAAAGAATCCCATATTCAGGGGTAGCCTGAGGCAGGCCCTGATGAAATTATCTTAAGAGCATTTTCAGCATGATTACCCCAATCCTCACTGAAATGTCTATAAAAACTCCCACACACTTTTTAACCATCTGAGCCACTCTGGGACAGTCCTGGCTTCCACTCAGGGACACTTGTGACTCTGTGTGCCTCCTCCAATCCTGTGTGCTCTGTGACAGGTGTCTCTTGATTAATCGGCACCTTTTCTAAATAACAAAGCTACAGAGACCTGTTTTATATCCCAATTAATTTATTGTAAGTTAAGATAGAAGAAGTAAAAACGTACTTTTGAGGCTGGCCATGACAAAGCATGCCTTTTGCTCCTTTAACAGCACTTCAGTGCTGAAGGAATGTGGTTTCATGGTCATTGGGCTATTCCGCCCACTGTCTAGTTGAGGGTGTGTCCTTCTTGATCCTATGCCTAGTTCTAGCTTGCGCTAGGGAACATCCTGCATGTTTTCAATGGTGGAAGAAGACTGGGGTTTTATGAGTTTTCTTTTTGTTCTCTCTCTCTCTCTCTCTCTCTCTCTCTTTTTCTTTATTCTTTTTGGGAAGGGGGTTGAGACAGGGTTTGTCTCTGTAACTATCCTGGCTGTCCTATAACCCACTCTGTAGACCACGCTGCTGGCCTTGAACTCACAGAAATTTGCCTGCTTCTGCCTCCTGAGTGCTGGGATTAAAGGTGTGTGCCACTACTGTCCAGCAAGGTTTGCTTTTTCTGAGTACATATTTTTTTAAAGATTTATTTATAATGTATACAGTGTTCTGTCTGTACTTATACCTGCAGGCCAGAAGAGGGCACCACATCTCATTACAGATGGTTGTGAGCCACCATGTGGTTGCTGGGAATCGAACTCAGAACTTCTGGAAGAACAGCCAGTGCTCTTAACCTCTGAGCCCAGAATTACTCCACCATCCCCAGTGGTGGTAGCACAAGCCTTTAATCCCAGCAGAGACAGGTGATCTCTGAGAGTTTGAGGCCAGCCTCATCTACAGAGCTAGTTCCAGGACAGACAAGGCTAAACAAAGAAACCCTGTCTGGGGGGGGTGGGGGGGAATACCCCACCAGATATCACTGACTCTAGTATCTGGGTTCTTCTCATGGAAGTGTTTAAATTGTGACCAATTTGAAATCCAATCTCCAATGCATATAGCAAGCAATTATATTTTTTAAGTTTTAGTCATTATTATTACTACATGTATGTGTATTTGCATGCTATAGCATCCTGTGGATATCACAAGAAAGTTGTTGAGTGGGTTTAAACCACCCTGTACCCCACCTTACATGAATTCCTAGATTGGAACTCAGGTTGTCAGGTTTGCAAGGCAGGCCATTTACCCTCAGAGCCTTTTCCCTGGCTGCTTGATTGACAGTTGTATATGAAAACATAATCATAAAGTCCTCAGTTTCTCTCCCTGTGTCCAGCTTTAAAGCCCTATGTGGACATCGTGTCCATTCCTCAGATACGAATGCCTTTCCTGATTCAGGGGAGACTTGACTGGCTGCATTGCCTTCCTCAGGCACCGGAACCTTTGGCCGCGTGAACTTGGTGAAGGAGAAGACAGGCAGGCGGTACTATGCCTTGAAGATTATGAGCATCCCGGATGTCATCCGCCTGAAGCAGGAACAGCATGTGCAGAATGAGAAAGCAGTCCTCAAGGAAATCAACCATCCCTTCCTCGTCAAGCTGTGAGTCCTTGGCTCCTTCTTTCTTAGTTCTCCACTTCCCCAACATTATTCTCTGAAGAGTGCTTTTGTAGCTCAGTGAGTAGAGTGCTTGTAGCCACATTGATTGAGTGCTTGTAGCTCAGTGGAAAGAGTGCTTGCCCTTACCTAATAGAGTGTTTGTAGCTCAGTGATGTGAAATAAGAGATGATACCCAGTTTTTGTCCTGATTTATTTTTAATTGTGTGTGACTTTTAACACCAAAATAGTACCCACTAATAGAGTCCAGAAAATGGTTCTATATCCTCCTGGAACTGTTGTACTACCTAACCAGGCGCTGGGATTGTAACTCACATCCTCCACAGGAGCAGCAAGTGCTCTTAACCACTGATATATCCCTCCAGGCCCAACCCATGAGTTTTTATAACACCTCCTTTTTGTGTGACCTGAATAGGCCCCATGATGCTAACATTAGTCTCTTCAAGGTTGATGCCCTGTAAAAGTCAAAACCTGGGTCTTTTGTTACAGCACTTAATCAAGGTGACAAAATAACCAAATTATTCGTTCATAATTTTCATATAAAACTCAACTGGTGATTTTTATCAGTGTTAAATCCTTTTTTGCATTTTAGAAATATACACACATATATAATATTCTCTCTCTCTCTCTCTCTCTCTGTGTGTGTGTGTGTGTGTGTGTGTGTGTGTGTGTGTGTGTGTATTATAATCTGTTAAGGTCCATACATGCACATACATGCAGAGATCAGAGGATAGCACCTGCTGTCATTACTTAGTTCATACTAAAAGTTTAAGACAAGGTCTGCTGCTTGCCTTCGACTCAGCCAGTATGATAGTCTATCCAGTAAGCCCTGGAGAGAATAAATTACCCAGCATGGCATCATTGAAACACCACCACACAATATCCATGCTATTCTAGCGTTTTCTATCCTGTCAGAACATGATACTACAGTCAAAATTCATTAGAATAACATAGAGTTAGAGTGTCAAGTTGAAGAGAGGGCTTGGAGATTAAGAGCAACTGCTCCTTTTGCAGAGGACCCAGTTCAGTTCCCAACACTCACCTTGCAGCACACAGTCACCTGTAATTCCAGTTCTGGGAGATTTAATGCCCCTGCTGGCCTCTTTTTCTGCTGTACTCTTGTACACGCGCGTGTGCGCACACACACACACACCCCACATACAGAGAGAGAGAGAGAAGAGAAAGATGTTGCTGTGTGCCCCTGGAAAGCAATGATGTTTGTGGATTAAAACCTTGTGGATTAAAACCATGATAGATGGTTGACAGATAGATGGATTAATAGATAGGTAGATGGAGGATAGATGTGAGACAGTGATGGATGTTTGGGTGTATAGGTTAAATAGCTAGATAATAGATGATTGGTGGATAGAAGATGGATGGATGGATGGATGGATGGATGGATGGATGGATGGATATGTACATGGTTTTGGTTAAGGTCAAGATGTCAAGATGTTAGTGAAGGTCCCACCTAGGACAACAATTTCGCACATACTATCCCTGAAAACTTTACCCTCAGTTTTTCTCACATAGCATCCTGTGACATCTTAACATCTACTTACAACCACAGTCCATCTAAGCACAACCTTACCATTTAGGTGAGCTGACATCAGACATCTTAGACATCCTTATTAGTTACTGCCCAACTTTGATTCTTTTGTTTTGATAAAACAGTAACTAACCCAAAGGGACTGAGAGTAGCTAAGAGTTAACTGGGGTTTCACTTCTCTGTCACTCTCCCCCCATCTTGGAGGGAAGTCAGAACAGGAACCAGAAGCAGAAAGCTTTCATTTAGCACAAGAAGCCTTATCTACAGTGGGCAGGTCCTTGTATGTCAATAATCAAACAGAACACTCCGTGCAGACACCTATAGACCATTCTGGTGTAGGAATTGTCTTACTGAAACTCTACCTAGGTGACTCCAGGCTGTGTTAAAACTAACTGCACATATTCCCCCAGCTAGGGAATGGTGTCACCCACAGTGGCCATGGTCTTTATCCATCAGTCAACTGAAAGAAGACCCTCTTTGCAGACATGCCCATAAGCCAGGAAATTCTCCATGAAGGCCTTTCCCAAGTGACTCTGGGCCATCAATTGACATTAAAGCTAACCAGGGTACATGCATATGTTTGCACCTATTTGTTTATTTATCTTGATATTTATCTTGATATCTGTATTTATATTTTGATATATGCATATATGTACCTGTTAGTGTCTGAGTATACCAGTATATTAATGGGAACATCTACCTCTGTATATCCACAGTCTATATACATGTCTTGCCATCAGTCTGTCAATCACCAACATCCATCTGCATCCATATCTAAGCACACCCCCCATCATGCACTCTGTTGTTTCTCGTAGGTTCTGGACTGGCCATGACAACCGCTTCCTATACATGCTGATGGAGTTCGTGCCTGGTGGTGAGCTGTTCAGCTACCTGAGGAACCGTGGCCGCTTCTCCTCCGTTGCTGGAATCTTCTACTCCACAGAGATTGTGTGTGCCATTGAGTACCTGCACGCCAAGGAGATTGTCTACAGGGACCTGAAGCCTGAAAACATCCTTCTAGATCGGGAAGGGCACATCAAACTCACTGACTTTGGCTTCTCCAAGAAGCTGGTGGATAGGTAAGTGGGGACAATCATGGGGTCATCAGAGATTAATTGAAAATTGAAGGTTCGATTTAGATGGGTGGACAGAGGGGCAGAAGATGCATGGTAGGCTCTGGTGTGATGCACCCATCTTTCCATCTGTCAAATGGGTATCTCATTTCTTTTCCTATTGATGTCGTAAAACACTCCTAAAAAAAAGCAGGTTAAGGAAGAACAGGTTTTTGTTAGTTGGTTCCTACCTGGTTCCACATGGGATTGTTTGCCAATGGGAGCATGTGTAATGGGCAGCTGCTCACATTGCAGCTCCATACAGGAAGAGTAAAAAGGAAATAAGGCTGGGTTATCAAACTTTGAGCCCACCCCTGGTGACCCACTTCCTTCAGTGGGGGTCTGCCTTTCCTAAGGCTTGTCCAGTGTTCCCAAACAGCACTACCTGCTGGATACCTAACATTAAAATGCCTGAGTCTGTATGGAACAGTCCACATCTGTACAACCTTGGGAGAGGTAGGTACCCCTTCAGGTTGTAAGCAAAGAAGAAAAATCATTCTGTCATCAAAGTGTTTGAATTTTCTGGAAAATTGTGATAACTGTTCGTGTGTGAATGACTTCATACTTGAAGTCATTTGTGCATGCACAAATATGTATATATATGCAAATATGTATATATTTAAATGCATCTCTATATTGCATGTATAATTATACAATTTATATATTTATATAAAATTGTGTATATATATTTATATGTATGTGTTTTATATACACAAAAATGTTCAGGGATAATATAGCTGGCTCACATTTTCAGTTTTTCATTTTGTTTTATTGTGTGTGTTTTTTTTTTTTTGAGACAGTGTTTCTGCCTGTCCTGGAACTTACTTTCTAGACCAGCCTGGCCTTGAGCTCAGAGATATCTGCCTGCCTGTGCCTCCTAAGTGTTAGGATTAAAGGCATGTTCTGCCACCGCCCAATGGCAGTTCAATATTTAATGTACTTTTTGCCTCAGGGTGTATTTATTTTATGTCTATGTGTAGTGTGTGTGTGTGTGTGTGTGTGTTACTCACAGAGGCCATAAGACGGCATTGAATCCCCTAGAACTGGAGTTACCGGTGGATGTCACATGGGTGCTGGGTACTAAACCCAGGTTATCTGCAAGAGCAGCCAGCACTCTTAAGATTGAGCCACCTCTCTAGCCTCCATCTTAGTGTGTTATATTTATAGAATTCTTTCCTTAGGTTCCTTTGCTCATCACTAGGGAACTCTTTGCAGACAATGAAGAAGATGGTGTCATATTCCTGTTAACCCATAGCCGGGGGAGGGGGAGTGGAGGGAAGGCTTCACATTGAGGGAATCATGTACTTTCCAGCCTCAGCAGGGTATCTCTGTATAGGAGACAGATTCTCTGTGGCCCCAGTACTAGCAGAGTGTACTAAGTACCCTTGACCAACCAGGCAGCCATTGAGGTATTTTGCAAAAATAATTGTATGCAGAGAGGTTCAAGGCTGTAGAAACAAGTCAGGTTCAAGGCTGTAAAAAAAAATTCCTACTAAGGCATGCAAGCCTTCAGCCTGAGGCAGACACAGACTCAGCTTTAAGTCAGGTAAGTAGAGCTGTCTCTGGTACAGTTACCTGTGGCATTGTGGGCTACCGTGTGCTATGGACCCTGATCTTGTTCTAAGTTATGCTACAAGGCTCAAAATCTGAGTTAGTGGGTCCAGAAGCATACACGAGTCTATCTGTATTTAAGATGAATAGGCACCTTAATGTGAGTCTGTCTTTACTGTAAATCTTTATCTTTTTCTGGCCATGAGTCTTTATCTGTTAAACAACGACATTGTTAAAATGAAAGTCTTTGTTGTTTCTGCCCAGGTTATCAAAGATGGCGGTGGAAACCTTTACCGCCAGCAATGAAAGCTGTGGTCACTTGATTTCATTGTGGAGGAGTAGGAGGCACAGGGGGATGTGTGCAGCCCAGACTTGTAATGACCTATTATGAATGATTTATTGAAACTTGCCTGAGGATTCAGAAAGCAAAGTCAGCCACAAGCAATACAAACAAAGCATACACCTTTAATCCCAGGACTCATGAGATCTCCAAGTTCAAGGACACCCCAATCTACACAAGATTGATCTAGTTCTAAAGAGAATTATAGCTGACACCTTTAATCCTAGGACTCAGATGTATGTAGATGTATGTAAGACAGGAGCAAGGTCTCTATATAGAGCATTCATTCTCCAGCCACACTGAGGACAGGCAGCAAGACTAGCCCATTCAGCCTAAGGTAGTGGTAAGAGCTAGTGGCTGGCTGCTTTGCCTTTCTGAACTTCAGCTTGAAGTTTGAACCCCAATATCTGTCTCTGGGTCATTTATTTTTCATGTTACACAGACTGGCCTGGCACTCAGCAGGCAGCTGAGGATGACCTTGAACTCCTGATCCTCCTGCCTTGACTTCCTGAGTGCTCAGATGACAGGTCAGCATATCTACACCTTGTTTATGCTGGGGATAGAATGTGGGCTCTGTGCCTGCTAGGCAAGAGCTCTACCCATTAAGCTCCACGCGCCCCACCCATGAAGCTGTAGGCAGTCTACTCACTGACCTATACTTCCATCCCTGCAAGTGTCTGAGTTGAACTGCACCATCCCTCTCACCAGGTCTGGATTACTTGTTTACAGCTTCTGGAACTGAGTCCTTTTTGTACATTCCACTTGCAGAACTTTTCTCCCAATCTGTTCCCTGCTCTATCTGGTTTACTGCACAGAGGCTTTTAGCTTTGTATCCTCACCTCTGTCAACCTTCCTGAGCCACTAGAGTCCTTTTTAGAAAGTCCTTGTGCTGTGACTTGTGCAGGTCCCCTGGAACTGGAGTCACAGGTGGTTATGCCACCACAATGTGGATGGTAGGAATTAAACTCAGGTTCCCACAAATACTTACTCACTGAACCATTGCTCAAGCCCACTTTTGAAAAATGATTTATTACATTTATCTATATTGCATGGGGTGGTGCCATGGTGTAGAGGTCAAAGGACAGCTTGCAAGAGTCAGTGCCCTCTTGCCTCCATGTGAGTCCTAAGAATTGAACTCAGGTTGTCAGGCTTGACAGAAGTGCTTTGACCCATTGAGCATCTCCTCAGTGTTTCAAGCATGCTAGGCCAGCACTCTATCAACTTTACCATGGTCCCATCTCCAGCACATTCTCATCTTATTAAATCTTGTATGGCTGAATTTATTTTTAGTTGAACTTTTGAAGAAAGAAACTATCTATTTTTCTTATTTTATATGCTGTGCAGTTTGCAGATGTCAGCAGCTGTTTGCCACGGCAATTGGCTATTTTTAAATATAAATTAAAGCCAGGCATTGTTACACACAACTTTGATCCCAACACTCAAACAGCAGAGGCAGGTGGTGGATCTCTTGTGAGTTTGAGGCTAGCCTGGCCTACACAACAAGTTCCAGGACAGTCAGGGCTGTTACACAGAGAAATGCTGTCTCAAAATGGACAAAACCTCTGAAGTTCTGATCCTCCTGCCTCCACCTCCATGTCTTTTGTTTGCCATGATGGAAATTAAACCCAGAGCCTACTGCATGCCAGGCATATGCTCTATCAACTGAGCACATTTCCAGACCCTATCACTAATGTTAAAGATGATTAATACTGCATATTGATTTAGCCATCTCCCACTCTCTCTTTTCCTAGTATTCTTTACTACATTCAGTTTTTTTCTTTTTAATTATATGTATCTGTGTGCATGTTCATGTGAGTACAGTACTGTCAGAGGTAAGAAAATGAGCATGAGTCCATTAACTAAATTACATATGTTAATGCTTGTAAGGAAGACATTTCAGTGAAGAACATGTCAGTGCAGGGTTAGTAATCAACATACATGGAGCAGCTGGGTGTGATGGTCCATGACAATCCCAGGGGTGGGCAAGTTTGAGGCCATCCAAGGTTACAAACAAAGAAAAGAGCTTAGATTCAGAAGTCATCATCATCATCATCATCATAATTATTGTGTGTATGCTGAGTGTTTGGGCACATATCTGCCAAGGTGCATGTGTGGGAATAACAGGATAGCCTTTTGCTCTCTGTTCTCTCCTTCTACCTCCTATGTGGATAAATTTTAGGGTTGTGCAACTTTACTAGCTGAGCTATAGTGAATGCCCAAAGTTTGGATTTCCAAAGCTTTATGGAACAGGTTCATGTACTTAGGCCCACAGGCCAGACTAATGGGAAATCCTTTACTGAGACCCTTCCCAGGGGATTCTGGGTTGTGTCAGTTGACAGTTAAAGCTCACAGCACAGCTTCCCCATGCCTAGAAAATCGATCTTCCCACAGTGAATATGGCTTGTGACTCAAATACTTTATCATGAAATCTTACATTTGTCACTTGAGTTGGTGCTCAGAAAGTTTTAGATTTGGGAGCATTTTGGTTTCTTTCCGTTAGGAATGTTCAACCTATTTTGCCATATGTCAGTTTTCTGCACAGTGTCCATACTTGGGACAGGGTCTTCATCAACTGTATGTTACAGCACCTTCCAAACTTCATGGGTTCCTTACTTCTGTCATCCCCACAGGACGTGGACCCTCTGTGGGACACCAGAATACCTCGCCCCAGAAGTCATTCAGAGCAAAGGCCATGGGAGGGCCGTGGATTGGTGGGCACTAGGCATCCTTATATTCGAGATGCTGTCTGGGTGAGTGACCCTCCTAACAGTTGGCACATGGAAACACTCACATACCCCACTATCAAAATTTGGAGGGTGACCAAGTATTTATTTTTCTTAAACAAGAATTTAAATTTTCATAGACATCCATAATTCCTTATGTGTAACATTCATCTTTTTTGTGGGATGACACATAAGCCTGAATAGTACCCACAGTGAACAAATGATACCAGCCAAATAGCTTAGTTAGTGATGGAAGAGTAGGCAAGGAAGGCAAGATTGTGTTATGATTTTTACCCTAAATTCCCTTTCTTAGCAGTGCATAGGACATGGGAGAGATGGGCTCTATTTCTGTCTCCCAGTTGACAGTAAGGTTAGTCATTCCGGAGGGTTACTGGTATCTGTCAAGTCTAGTATACACCTGAGAAAATTGTGTAAACATAGAAAGTGAGATGCCCACAGGTAGGTATAGCTGGGGCAATTGGAGGCCAATACCATGGCAGTGTTCACCTGTGTAGACCTAAAGAGTCACTGGCTTCTGCTTGGGAAATGACAGTTATTCCAGCCCCGTGTTTTGGTTTTTTTTTTTTTTTTTTTTTTTTTTTTTCCCCTAGTGCCGAGATGGAAAGTTCATCCTTTGTGGATCAAACCAAATAGTAAAATAGCTTGCAGGAGGATTTTACTAAAATACTATGAGATTTGCCAAGAGGGAGCATCCATCTACCCAACCATCCATCCATCCACCCACCCACAAATCCATCCATCCATCTATTCATACATCTACCCACCAAACCATCCATCTGGTCACCTATCCAGACACCTACCTGTCCAACTATCAATCCAGCCACCCATCCATACACCCATTCACCCATCCATTCCCACTCCCATCCATCCACCCATTACCCACTCACCATCCACATACCCATCCATCCATCCACCTACACATCCATTCATCCATCTGTCCATCCACCCACCACCCATCCATCTTCCAAATCATCCATCTACCCATTAACACATCCACCCGTCTATCCACTCTTCCAGCTCCTGGAGGCTCCAAATATTCTTGGCTTTTGTGGCCCCATCAATCTCATCTCCATATGGCTTCACCTGTGGTTTTGTATCCCTTCTGTCTGTCTTGAGGTTACTGTTATTATTCTTAGGGTCATCCTTACCCAGGATGGACTCATGTCAAGATCTGTTACTCATTCTCTAGGCAAAGACCCTATATGCAAATGATGTCCCAGACATGAGTTCTGGAAATTTTGTGCATATTGTGTGTGTAAACAATCCATGAAATATACTTTCTTTGAAATTTATACATATAAAACCACATTTATATGCACGAAATTTATAATATAATTTATAAGGTGTGTGTGTGTGTGTGTGAGTACGCACAAGGGAATGCTGTGGAATCAATAGAAAATTATTGTTTTCATGATGAAGCGACTGTGAAGAAGAGCCTGGGGTCCCAGTGTCTTTTTGAAGGGCACATCTCCAATAACCTAACTAACTTCCTTCCACTGAGCCCCACCTCTTGAAGGTTTATAACTGTCAGTTCCACCCCTGGCTGGGGAGGAAGCCATCAACAGAGGCTCATTGGGAGACATCAGGACCCTCTCCCTGCCCTCCCTGTCCTCCTGAGACCAGTTGTCAATCAGTAGGTTCATCTGACACAATTTTTTTGCGTTCATTAAGCAAAAATTGTAATTGGCACAGAGTAGACATAATTCTGTATTTAATAATGCTAAAAATTCTTCTCTCTGTGACAGGTTTCCCCCATTTTTCGATGACAACCCTTTTGGGATTTACCAGAAAATCCTTGCCTGCAAAATAGATTTCCCCAAACATTTGGATTTCACCTCTAAGTAAGTGCACTTGCAGTTTCCTGCCCTATCCCTATGTTTATTTTCAACATTTTGTGAAATAACACAGCAAGCACAAACTCCTGACAAACACTCTTGATTCATATCAGTCACTTTTTCCACATGGAAGGGAAAACCTTTTACTTATTCTCATTTTACTGAAATGTAATATTTGGAAGGCCAGTTCTATATCTCTGTCCTCTTGTGATAGAAGGAGTTGAAATTAAATCAGATTTGGAACCAATTGCGTAAGTGATCATTCTGTCCATCCATCCATCCATTTAATTTATTAGTTATTAGTTTACAGATTGAGAGAGGGTCCCACTTTGTAGCCCTAGATGTCCTGGAACTTGCTATGTAGATGAGCCTAGCCTTGAACACAGAGATATTGGCTCCCTGAGTTCTGAGATGAAACCTGTGCACCACCAAGCCAGTCCTATTAACTTTGTAACTTGTTTACATTTTTTAACTTTTTTTGAACCACTAAGAAAAGAGGGGCTTAGTGGGAGGAAGTTAGTTTATTGCAGGTAAGACTTTGAAGGAGATGCTGGGCTTCCAGGCTTTCCTTCATGATCATTTCAATGTGTAAATACAATGTTTTATTAATTTTTGACAATTCCATACACATCTATGGTATATTTTGCTGAGATTGGCCTATATATTTATTAAGCTAGAAGGATGAAACTCTGTGGCTCTATAAGTGATAATTTTTCTTCTTTTTTTTTTTTTTTTTTTTTGTCTAACTGAAATTGCACACATCCTAAAGAATTCTTGCATGCAAGATGTTTAGAGGTGGACAAGTTGCTTAAAAAAGTGCCAGTATTCAGGCTGACCATTCATTTAATGAGGATTATGGCAAAATTAGTGGAAAGGGGAAAGAAGGATTAAAAGCATATAAACGCCTTTGACTTTCCTTGATGTGAATGTGATCAGATGTGAGCATTTTCTAACAAGAATGAGCCTTGATCTCCAATTGTTTATTTATTTAGTTAATTGGGAAGAAGGGCCCTACATACCCCAGAATTTCTGATACTCCTTTTCTAGCCTCCCAAATGCAGGGTGACAGACTTGTGCCACCATATCCAGGGTGTGCAGTGCAGCAGATGGAACCCAGGGCTGGATGAGCACTGTACCCACTATGTAAGCACCTGAGCAACTGAGCAACAAGCACTCTGCCCACTGAGTTACAAGCACCCATTCCACCTAACTAAAGTCTTTGTCAGATATTATCATAGGTGCTGTGGATTGCAGGATATTTGAGCACACCTGCACGCATGCGCAAGCGCGCACACACGCAAGACATCCCATCTTCACCCTGCCTTAATTTCTCCAAATCTTCAATTTACCACAAATGACTACCCTGTCCTTTGCATTCTCTTGTTTTTTATCCATGATAAAGACACAGGAGAGTGGCTGGTATTTGGGACTTCATTGAGCAGGTGTGCTCAGCCTGCAAACTCAGTCACCCTATACAGGACTGTGTAATGGAACACAGCTGTGGGCCTGCACGGTAGCCTTGTCAGTTACCCAGGAGGAAATGATGCTGGGATAGATCGATCAGTGGTGAAAGGTTACAGGCAAAATTCACTGGATGGAGGGCCTGTAGCTCAGTGGGTGGAGTGCTTGTTACAGAGTTGGCTGAGTTGGCTGGGTTAGAATGCTTATACTCAGTTGGTAGAATTTTGTCACTTGGTGCATAGAGTGCTTATAGCTTGGTAGGGAGAGTGCTTGTGTCAGAGTTGGCTAGGTGCTTGTTGTTCAGTGGGGAGAGCGCTTATACCTCAATTGGTAGAGATACAGAATCTCAGTAGAGTACTTAGGAATTGAGTATTGCATAGAGTACTTGTACCTCAGTGGTCAGAGTATGGGTGACTCAGTGGGTAGAGTGCCTGTGGCTCAGTGGGTAGAGTGTTGGTGGCTCTGTTGGCATGCCCCCAAGCCTGGGCTCCATCCCTTACCATGTAAATGGTACACATGTCTGTAGCCCTGCATGTAGAACGCAAAAGCCAGAGGTCAGGGGTTAGCTCATTGTTAGACATGGGAGCCCAGGGTGCAAGCTGATCCCTGCAAATGCTTTCTCCATGGACATACTGTATAGGGGCGCAGGTAGGGTTTGTGCCTATGTTGATTCTGGCATTTGCCAGATCTAAGTGGAGTCTGCTCTGGCTGTGCAGGGACCTCATCAAGAAGCTGCTGGTGGTGGACAGGACCCGGCGCCTGGGCAGCATGAAAGTGAGTCATGCCAGAGCATTCCAGTTTGCACACTGATGGTAACACCATCTACTCAGAGGGTCCCAGACAATGTTCAAGTTATTTTTGTGGTTTATTTATTTTTATTAATTATGTGTACATACTACACAGGTGCATTACCTGCCAACGTAAGCAGAGAATACTGGGTTCTCTGCAGCTGCAATTATAAGTTGTCTGCTACCATGTGGGTGCTGCAAACTTAACCTGGATCCTTTGCAAAAGCAGCCATCTCTATTGCTCATGTTTTGCTGTTTTCATGTAGCCCAGGCTGGAATCAAAGTCACTGTGTAGCTGAGAATAACCTTGAACATGTGACTCACCCACCTATTACCTCTCAGAGCAGGGATAACAAGTGTACACTGCTACTCACGTTGACTTATTATTCTTTATTTTTTTAGAGTTTTAATTTATTTGTTCTTTTTTTTTTTTTTTGGAGACAGAGTCTCACCATGTAGTCTGACAGTCCTGGAACTCTCTATGTAGACCAGGCTGTCCTCAAACTTACAGACATCCACTTGCCTCCATCACTAGAATGCTGGAATTAAAGGCATGTGTCACCACACCTTGACACTTATTTTTTTTTCAACTGCTTTATTGGAGAGAGATTTTACACATGCTATACACACACTGATGGGAGATGTCATTCTGTAAATATGTTTCTCGTATTGGTTTATGAATAAAGCACTGTTGGCCAATTGGAAAACAAGATAGATGAGACTAGGAGACTAGGAGGAGAGAGGAAGAAGTAGGGAGAAGTTTCAAGATGTAGGACCAACAGGGTAGTACACCAGGCTCTTTCTCCGGTAAGATAAGAGCACATGGAAATACTTAGATTAATAGAAATGGGTTAATATTTAAGACAGAGCTATCCAATAAGAAATGCTAGTAACAGGCTAACAGCTTTATATCTAATAATCTAATACAGCGTCTCTGTGTGTTATTTGGGGTTGGCGCAGTGGTGGGACCAGAACGGCAGGAAAACCACTCTTAATACACACAAGATGTTTTTCAAATGCTTTTTACTGAGTATATATGTTTATTCTCAAGAACGGGGTAGACGACATCAAGCGGCACCGGTGGTTCCGGGGTGTGGATTGGGAGTCTGTGCCACAGAGGAAACTGAAGGTGGGAATATCATACACCCTTGAACTAAATGAACCCCTCCATATCCTATCCTAACCACCCAGAAAGCTCCTGCTGTGTCTCAGTCTTGCAAATTAATTTACCAGAGGTTTATTTAGTAATTATTTACATGTATGTATGTCTTGTATTTATGTACACCTTGGCAACTGCAATACAAGTGTGCCTTCAGCCCCTCCTTGTAAAATTGACATTCTGAGAGACAGGCACTGAGCTGCCTGGTGTCACCTTTCCCCATGAGCCATGTAAACATTACTGTCAATCAACAAGTGTCCAACTTCCTCACATTTGTGTCTAATGTGTTGCTTATTTATTTATTCTATGTGACACTTAGCCACCCATTGTGCCCAAGTTATCGGGTGATGGTGACACCTCCAATTTTGAGACTTATCCAGAGAGTGACTGGGACAAGAAGACCCCTCCTGTATCCGACAAAGAACTGGAAAATTTCAAAAGTTTCTGAGGATGGGAACCCATTTCTGCAAGGTGAAACTTTTTGCTTTTTCTGAATTTTAAGGTAGGTTGTCATGTAGCTGAGGACAGCCTTGAACTTACCATGAGGAAAATATATACTCCATGCAACGAAGGATGGTGAGTTAGCCAGTGTGTGGGGTTTCTTACAATGATTGACAAGTCAATTGGCAGTGAAAAGGTTACCAATCACTTAACATGCCCACCCCCCCCCACCCTGCCTTTTCCTTTTTTCTTCACTAGGAGCATGAAGAATTCCATGCAGCACTGAGGACCAGAACCGTTTTTGTTGTTTGTTGTGGTTGTTTGCTGAAACACTAGAAGGATCCCTTCGAGGTTAACGAGATCATTGCCCTCAGGACCCGGCTTCATTTCGACAACTGGAAACCCACCTGGTGGGAAGTTTGCAAAATCTGTTAAACTGTAGATGTTTTCCTTCTTCGTGAGTCTTGTGTTGTTGCTGTGAATTTAGGTGGTGGTGTTGTTTCTCTAATGAATTTTGTAAGTTTGAATTTGATCTATTTGATTATAGCTGTCACTGTGTATATGCACAGAAATTGTGCAAAACTGGACTTTTGGTACTTTGACATGCCTGTGACTTGTTTATTTTCAACGCTTTCTGAAAAATCTGCTACTCTACAGGCAAAAAAAGGGTTCGATGTATGCATTTTTAAAATGCTTTTCTATGCATTTTACAGTCATTTGTGTGTGTTGTTTAGACACTGTTTGTTTATTTTGTTCCTCTCTGGTCACTATAAACTCAGACATCGGGAAGCCACATGCTCCGCAGATCCCTTATTCAAAAATATGGCACAAACAAGTGGCTTTCCCCAATCTTCCAGTTTGATGTCTCCAGTAAAATATCCCCTCTTAAAGTTAAGCCAGAACTCTGCATACTGCATTAGCCACATGGCAACCTGGGTGCAAAGTTTGCCTTTTTATGATAATACAAATTTATCTACATTCCCAAAAGGGAACTTCAAGGATCCACCCCTCAAATCCCTCCTCTGTTGTAAATGACGTTTTCTTCCCATCAAACTCAGTCCTGTTGTTGTTCCAGCCCTGTCCATCTGTAAAAATTCAGGTTCTGGGCCGGGAGCTATATTTTCATTGAGCTTTCCCAGTTTCTAATATGCAAAATAACTGGGTTATGTACCATGAACAAACATACACAGGAGATAGAATTCTGGATTATAATCACGCTGACCAACATAGGTACTCTCAGCATTTGATATTACATAGGAAATAATGTAAAATTAGCATAGAAAACATTGCCTTAATTCTAAACACATATGAGATCACAAATACCCACATCTACCCACTGTGTGCTCCCAATATACTTAGCAATCTGACCCCTGATCCTAAAAATCAAATTAAATAACATTAATTGAGCTGTAAATCATACCATGTGATGTCATTGTAGTGACATCAAGTAGTGCATAGGAATAATAATTTTTATTTTAATGTTTTTTTATTGTGTGTGCATGTGACTATAGCACACACGAGGGCCAGCAAAGCACTCCAGAGACCCTACAGCTGGACATACAGGTAGATGTGTGTTGCCCTGTGCATGCTGGGAACCCAACCTGGGTCCTCTGCAGTCCACATAGTTAACATGAAAATAAAAATTAGGAAGGGGTGATGGGGCAAAAACAACCAGGAAAAGGGATGAGGGAACTATGCACCCAGCACCTTCTCATAAACCCATGGGACAGTTAATAAATTACAAATTCCTCAGGTGGTGGTTTGATTCAAACCGAGTACAAAAGATGAAATAATCAGTAACCAATACTAATTTAAAAACAAATCCCTATGCTCTCCAACCAAGACTGATTTTTCTTTTTTTAGTGTTTAGTAGAGATAAGATAAGCTGTCTCACCTCACTAGCTGTTTTGTGTAACACTGTAAAATGTGATGCGATGGCTAAATACTGTTCACATGACCCTCAGGCTGTGCAAATATCTCAACATTGGACCAAAACATATCAATCACCACTGTGCTGTTCAGTGAACCCTAGCCAAGATTCAGCATTTTGTGTGTCTCCACGTTGGAGTGAAAAACTGGGGAACGGTGTCTATCACTCCTGGCTGTAGATTTTGTGGCATGTGGATTTCCTGGGTTTTTTGTGTTTTGTTGTTGCTGCTGTTTTTAATGAAGTTCCATAGGGAGCATTGATGAAAGCCTGACACCTCATTCTTGTTTCTCACACACAATGCAAACCACCTGAAAATTATGATGCAAAGTCAAGATTTTTGCATGGTTTGGTTCCCCCCTCATCAGTGTGTGTGTGTGTGTGTGTGTGTGTGTGTGTGTGTGCCCTACCATTTCTTGTTCCCATCAAAGCTGTGTGTGTGTGTGTGTCCGTGTGCCCTATGGTTTCTTTTTCCCATCAAATCTGCCTTGCGAATCTAACAGCCTTGCATCCAACCACACACTGTCATTTCCTGGGGCAGTAAGAGGGGGGTGCTCTAGTTGGTTATGTAGTAGACATCATTACTTGTGTGATTTAGGGGAAGTGAGCAGGAGCCTCCCTGGCCCTTCCAGTCCTCACAGGACCAGACTCAAAACGCTCCTCAGCAACCTCAGTTCTTCTCACACTGTGGGTACACACCACTTGACCTCCTGATGTAACAGGTGTCACATGCACCGTGCAGGCATGTCCCCACTGCTGAGCACCTGCTGGCTCACCTGAAGTTATCACTCAGAATGAAAAAGCCTTGTTTTTTTTCTTACATTCTAATCCTGCTGCACAACTAAAAAATCACTGTGATTTGTGTATATATCTATCTATATCTTTCTATATATTTGCCCCAGGAAAATTTTTTCTGCTGTCTAATTTATAAAGTAAAACTATTGAGTCCAGGTTTGTTTAATAAAAGTTTGTATGTTAAGAAATCTGTTTCTTCCTTGGTTTTTCCTGTAATTCAAAGTAATACCACGAAATAACAGTCCCTGTCCGTGGTTAATGACCACAGTCATCCAGTCACCAATAGCAGCTGGTGCCCATTTCTCAGAGACAGAACTGAAGAGGCTCAAATAAAGTAAGGTTTATTAAGGAAATGGGTATGCACCCCAGTAAACAGGGACTGGTGATTGTTTCCAGGAATATTAGGCCCCCAAAGGATTTTGCAAGTGTTACAAGCTGCAAACAGCATGAAGGTGTGTAGGGACATAACAGTCAGGGAGAAGGGTGAGCCAGGGTGTGGTAGGACTGCATTTTCCCCAAATACTTGCTGTTACAGGAAGATTTCCCCTAGGGAAGGTAGAAGCTGCTTGGAGAAGGCTGACACATGCTACCATGGGGCTGTATTCAGCCTCTCAGAGGTATCAATGCTTCATTCTTCACCACTTAAAAGCAGAAATCTCCCTTCCTAACCAACCTCAACTAGGATTGTTGGACATGCTCAGGGATCAGCACCTAGAATGTTGAGACAGCCAAATGTTGGCAGCCAAAGTTACACAGCATGACACAGTTTCAAAGACAAGCCATTTCGAAGTTGGAGGGAATAAATATAGATATATAGTGGCAGACACCTTTATAGGATTAGATGCAAGCAGTAGTGCATACCCTACACAGCAAGTCTCCATGAATAACCTATGATTCTGGTGCAGGCCTTTGGCTGTCCTAAGTCTATAATAATAGATTCTTGATAAAGGACTGGCTAAAGAATCGGCTATCTAATGGAATTTCTATGGACACCATATAGCGCTAGAGCAGTGGTTTTCAACTTTCCTAATTTGTGACCCTTTAATGCAATTCTCATGTTGTGGTGACTCCCAACCATATCATTATTTTTGTTGCTACTTCATAACTGTAATTTTGATACTGTTATGAATTATACTGTAAATATCTGTTTTCCAGTGGTCTTAGACAACTCCTGTGAAAAGGGGTCCCAACCTGCAGGTTGAGAAACACTGCCCTAGTGCATCAGGCAACATTGAGAGGTGTAATGCCATAATCAAAGATCAATTAACTTTGTCTGATTAACTCAATCTGCAATTGGCTTTTATTAGCAAAGCAGCTTACATCCTGAACTCAAGACTCGACCATATTGGGGCTCAGCCTATCTATTATAATTTATTTCTTTCCAACACCTGAACTTTAGCAATACCTCCTATAATACTTGGAGACGTTAGGTATTGACTACACTATTTGCTTCAATGGCACCTTGGTTGGAAAAGAAGAAATGATGGCATTTCCATCTCAGAGCTCTATCAGAACATAGTATTAGACTAATTGCACAGACTCTAAATGGTCTATAGCAACTCATCATTATTCGCTACTTTATTACCTTTATTAAGTTTTACTAGTTGCAATCATTTTATATGCAAAGTGGTTTTACTTTGAGAATTGGCCTCCTGGATACAACTTACCTTGTTCCAGACTTCTTTCAGTTAGAAAAACTAACCAGATATACCATCATTGGGAGACATAATAGCCTTTCTAAAACTTACAAATTTGTAGCACACAAGCTCATACTGGGAGTAGATTTAGCTTTGGCCCTGGAAGCAAAAACTGACAGTAGATCCTAAGACCTAATGGCAGACGCACACTCCAGCACTTTCTTCACACTTTCTATCACCTTAATTGTAGTCCTATTGGCCTAAGTTCCGAATTGCCTCTATATCAGATACTATGAACATCTCTATCCAAGCACCATGCATCTCCTGGGATATCACAATGGATCACTAATACTGAGAATGAAGTGGATCAACATTCTCTTTATGCTGATAACAGGTACAAGGCTCTCTTGGAAGTTATTCCCACTGCTCTCACTGCAGCCACCTGGACCTAGCCTACTACATCCTTCCCCCCAGATCTCCCCAATATTGTAGGATGGAATGGACTTAGTGTTGTAATTTAAGAAAAGCAGCACGTGAGAGAAAGATGGCATGGGACAGAGTTCAAGCAGAGGTTTTGGTTTTTTGTTTTTATTTATTTTTTTTAAACTAGGGAAAGGGATCATAAAAAAGGGGAGGGGGGAGCAGCCTCCAGGGATGGGAACAGCAGGAAAAAGGGAAGGAGGAGGGAGAGAAAAGAGAGAGGAGGAACCAAATAGAGGGAGAGGAAAGAAGGCAGCAGGGATGAGAGTTGGGCAGGGCCCTTTAAAAAGGGAACATCACAATATGCACAGGTGGTTCTCTAAGCGGCTACACCTGAAGGTGTATCCTGTCAGAACCCCAAGGACAGGCCAGTACAGATGCCTGAATACACCTAGTTAACCTCCATACTTAATAATACCAACGCAATAGCCATCTATTGAAATGTTACAGAATGGGCACATAAACTTGTTGAACCACACATGAAGAGAACAAATGCAAACAGGCTATACACAATACTGAACATTATAACCACGAGTTAAGAGTTTTACCAACCTAGAAAACACAATAATCCTACTAAAGCCTCCACCAACCTGTAAGTGTTGCAAATATCTGGAGGATTACAGGAAAACCCACAAAGCAATTTATGCAGACCACTGGGTAAACTTAGAAAAAACATATAAAATTGATGTTGATCATCCTATTTCATCTGCTGGGATACCGGCCTTATAAGTCAGGCCTTTAATTATTCAAAGTTAATGCTCTGATGGAACTTTCACAAGTAGCACAGCTATGGAAATGAGCTTTACACCAATTCTGTGCCAGCCAGAATGGAAACACATGAGGACTATGAATATGTAGAAACGGAAAGATCCAACAATGAGGAAGACACAGCAACACAAGAACCAAACCACTCCCTCTTGGACCATAATGTTAATCCACCCAATGACAGTATACCCTTCTCATTTGGAATAGAGGAAGGAACAGAAAAAAAGGCAGGATCAACAATGACAACATAATGTAGTGTTTTAGGCCTCATTAACCCTCCATGCTTTGGACAACTCTGTTCACCCATAAGGTGAAGGATTTCTCATAAGTCTCATCTCGGGACAGTTGATCTATAATATTTCTCAATCAAACATCTCATCATTATGGAATTATAATGCTTTGGGATGTATTGGGACACACATCAATACCCACTTGTGCCTTATGGTACTCTCTAGTAATCTTTCAGTAAAGAGGCTTAATACAAAACCAAGTACTTACCCTTCTAAAGTCCTATCCCATGATTTCACATTATTGCAAACCAGTCTATTGGCCACATGTAAGTTTAATTATTTCACAGCCCCCAAACTACAACTCTATATTACCTAACTTGAAGTTTATTTGTGTGTGTTTAGGAGTAAAACAAACCCACACTTAGGGGCACAATTTGACAGTATTTGAGGCAATTAACCTTTAGGAAACTGGCTAGCTTATGCAGAAAACCCAGACTCTTAGATCATTGTCCACCATAGGTGGAAAGTGTCTGGGGAAGGAGCACCTCCTACTAGTTTGGCATGGTACTACGATGATATGAGTACCCCCTACTAAACTTCAGCTTAATGTAACCCAACAACAAACATAATATGACAGTAATCAAAATACTACTAAAAATATCTAGTGTAATGCATTAGGCGTCAAAAATATGCAGTGATTCAGGTGTTACCCACAGTCAATTGAGAATGCACAGATTAGGACTTTACATCCACAATTTAATTGACAAACTACATTTGGACTTCCATTCAGGAATTCTGGGAGGTTATAATCCAAAGAACACACCAATCAGATGGGTTATATACTTGTTATAACAATCCCAAAGGACTTCATTGTATGACTCCATATGAAATAGACTTATGATGAGTCTCTCATCATGGAAAATAAAGATTACATACCTATTGATAGAGATAGAAAGCCTTGACCAATGGTTTACACCCCAAGCATGTGGCATTCACAGTATAAACTTGGAATTCTCAGATTCGGTACATTTAGGAGTCAAAGGCATGATGAAACTAAACAAGCATACATCAAACATGTTCGACTACACTATCATAGAGAGACCTTCTAGGAACTACCTCAAGTCACCTCCACAGAACCAGATTTGTCTTACTACCATTCTACAGATAACCCTATAATAATTTAGGAGAAAGGACCTAATATACTTCATAAGAAGAAGCATTCCCTGGTGGAAATCCTTTGGACAGTAATTTAATTGTGATAATTTAATTACTAAAACAGTAACTGCATCTTGTTATAAATTTAATACTGTTCAACCTTTTAATGGTAATTGGGCTAAGATATCTTGAGTAATACATGTACCAACAATAGGTTTTAATTCAACTCAAAACTTTGAGAAACCTATTTCTTTTAAGCATATGTTCTTTGTGGATTGTCATATCTGGGAAACATCCTGGGCACTGTTGGATGATGTGTGAAGGATATAATTAGGCAAATATATTATACACTAAATACTTGAGACCAGGATATGCCCATAGAAAACATACCCCTGAAATCTTAGAATACAGAAACTCTATAATGATATCCTTAAAACATAGAGATATTGGTGGTGTACTCCAAGACCCAATATGTATAAATATAACTTCTAATTCTTAAATTACCCTAAATGTGCTAAATTTTGTCATTCTTACCAAATTCCTAATTTCCCTATTCAACAAAAATTAAAATGAAGGTTCCATCAGTTTGATATTGCTGCTACCCTGACAATTACTGCTTTAACTATTTCCCAAGAACAGCAAGCTGACACATTAGCACAAAAGACAGCTTGTTAACGTACAAAAACTGACTAAATGCTCAGTTTTTACTTTCTAAGAATTTTCAATCCAGTTTAGCTATGCATTTAGATGATATGCAAAACGGACAATTAGATGCAGTTCTTTCAGAGAATAGGCAAATTAGACAGAGTACTGTGTGGCTTTAACAACACTTTAACCACTTATTAATGGCAGCCACAGAGAACATCATTAACCTCGTGTGAACTGGAATTGGACCTATAACTGATAGGTCTATCACCATCC